ACACACACACACACAAATGGTCCTTTCCTTGAGCACAAACTTTCTATAAGAATTTGAAGGGAGAAGATGTCTACCGTAATTTTGAACAGCAAAGTTATAATTAAGCCACTTAAGTACAGAAATAAGCATAACATTTCAACAAGCTTGCAAAATGAAAATGAAAAATTTCCATTGTACATAACTGTGATGAAATAAAATACCTTACTGAATTATACATTCAACTAATATTTGAGACTATTCATAGTTTATAGTTTCAGTGTATCTGATGATGAGAATGCTGGAAATACGTTCTCATCAGCAGAACTTTGGTTAAATACAGATAACTGACCATTATCTAATCCAGTGATGGCGAACCATTTAGAGACCGAGGGCCCAAACTGCAACCCAAAACCCACTTATGCATCGTCGAGTGCCGGGTGGGTATGGCCCATTGGCTGGGCGTGGCTGCGGTGGTAACGGCAGACTGGGTGGGACTAAAAAGTTCAATCAATCAATTCCAACTTTGCAAGATCTTTTTTTTTTCCCACGAGAAGTTGAAATTGACTGATTGAACCTTTTTTTTTTTTGCACATGGCGGCGGAGGCCTAAAGCGAAAAGGTTTTATAAAACCCAGCTGAAGGCCTAGGACTGGGGCGATGGCACGCATGCCCACAGAGAGGGCTCTGAGTGCCGCCTCTGGCACCCGTGCCATAGGTTCCCCACCACTGATCTAATCTAACTAGGTTGCCCATCAAGGGAGTATGTAGGATTGGCAATGGGGCAAGTAACAAATGTGCATTTTAACATCACCATATAAGCTTTAGGCACATACTGAATTACCCCAGATCATGTATTTTCTAATTTACTTTGGATGACAACACCATCCCTCTTTCAAAATATTTTGGAGTCTAAACTTAAAATTAATTTAGTGCAGTTTGGCTATGGGAAAAAGTGTCATACATAGATACTTTCAGTTTCCAGTGTATGACTGGAATTAGCTTTTCTTGAAATAGTATCAGTGAGTCTATCAGAAAAAAAGTCGTTCATAATTCAAATGGATTCAATTATTGAAGCAAGAGATGTACTATCACTCTTCCCAATCTCTAAACATCTCCACATTAAGTAAAAAATATACATGTAGATTGCCTTCCAGAATTGGAACAAGTTTTTATCAGAAGCAGTAATTGTAGGAAGACTCCATTGGCCCATCTTTGTTGATTTCAAATGACTAACTATGTCTAAATTAAAAGCATCAGCTTACCTAATCTTTGAAGTCCAAACTGACCATAATCTTTACCCTGAATAAATCCTTGAAAAACATAAGTTGCACCATCAGGTTCTGCAGAAACCTATGTAGAATAATAAAAAGAAGGATATGTAAAATAAATATGCATGTGCATATTCACAGTAACAACTTGAGAAGCTTATTAGATTCAATCTGGGGGGAAAATCACTTAATTCATTCAGCTACTTATACATTTTGTTATTGTTAATGATATTAGATTCCTTTGATCTGGAAGTGATCAGTTGATTATGTGTCATCAAGTCATTGTCAGCCCTTAGCAATCACATTGATAGATTTTCTCCATGATGATCTGGAAGCATTTATTTTAAAAGATACTCAAAAAATTAAAAACAGAATAAAAAAGGGAAAGAGAAAAATAGGGAAACAGTACATAAAGATCTAGAATATACATATGAAGAATATGGGGAAAAAAAGGAAAAATCTACTATTCTTATTGGTAATAGAGTCAGGGAACTTTTAAAATCTTTGCTTGTTATCTTCTCTTATTTGGCCTTAAATGTCGTATAATTGTATTAGTATTTCAAATCATGTATACAGCAATTAGAGAAAAGTTTTTCATCTGTCTGTTTTTATGCTTACAAAATAGCTAACTTTAACATCTAATAAATAATCTTACATTTCTGTAGTAGCAAAGACTATTTTTAGTTGAGTTTGATTCATGACAACTTTAAAGGCAATATGGATGTGATTGTCATTAGTATTTACTTTCTTTTCTAAGTATTAGCCAATTTTTATCTGGAACAGTCAGTTCAGATAGCTATTGCCACCTAGATTGTTAACAATGTTTTAAGATTCCTGTTTGGTCTGACCACAAATAAAATCTAGCTTTGATTTTATTTAAGATATCCCTCCAGTCAGAAATATATTGTTCTAGCATTGTTCTTCTGTATTGCTTCCCCCTTTAGGAAGGCCTTATGGTGTCAATTCTTGCAGTGTTTAGAAAATCTGCAAAGATGAGAATCTGTGTCCCTGGGCATTTGTCATTGAAATTCAGTGCTTAGTTTAGCCTATTTTTTAATCTTTTTTTAAAAAAAATATATTAAATTCTTTCTTGTTTTGAAAACTGTTAAAAGTTTTAAAAGTATAACAGTTTTAACACTAGCTGAAATCAAACCAATATATTTTGTATTAGGTTACCAATAGAAAATTTATCACATCACACTTTAGTTTATCTTTGCAATATTGCTGCTCTAATCTATTAATATGTATTGCACTACTACTGTACGTAGTTATAAATAACACTGCATGTTGATGTTTTGTCAACTACAAAGCTTAAAGAAATGTAAAGCTTCTATATGATCACATACAATGTAATCTAGTTGCACTACTAACTACTACAAAGTTAGCATTATAATCAATCTGGAAAGTAATAGTATATTTTGCTAGAGAAACAAAGCACACTTATCTGGGTTTCTATTTTGCAAAGTACTAACCACTGATAAAGTACTGCATTGGCTGATGTGGACATAGTTGCTTGAAAGAAAATCTAGGGTATTATTCCCATTTTCTAATTGTAATGTTTAAAATAGAACAGAACAGAACAGAATAGAAGCTGAAAGGGACCTTGGAGGTCTTCTAGTCCAGCCCCCTGCTCAAGCAGGAGAACCTATACCATTTCAGATAAGTGACTGTCTAGTCTCTTCTTAAAAATCTCCAGTGATGGAGCGCCCACAATTTCTGAAGGCAAACTGTTCCACTGGTTAATTGTCCTCACTGTTAGGAAGTTTCTCCTTAATTCCAGGTTGCTTCTCTCTTTGGTCAGTTTCCAACCATTGTTTCTTGTCCTGCCGCCTGGTGCTTTGGAGAATAATTTGACGCCCTCCTCTTTGTGGCAGCCCCTCAAATACTGGAATACTGCTATCATGTCACCCCTATTTCTTTTTCTTTTTTAGACCAGCCAAACCCAAGTCCTGCAGCTGTTCTTCATATGTTTTAATCTCCAAGCCTTTGATCATCTTGTGTTGCCTCTTTCCTTATTAATCAATCTTGGCACTGCATAATGTAAGATAGCCTTGGTAAGTATAAAACAGCTATACCATTACTCAGAAATGCAACTTAGTATACCCTTTCTATGTGTATCTATTCTATGAATATGTAAGAACACGATTTTCTAATGCAAATATATTGGCAAGAAAGAAAGTAGTCATCCATAATGTGTGCTAATTTTTTTCGCCTGCATGCTGGTCTACCTTTGAATCCAATCAATGACATTTCCCATGACCTTTAAGAATGCCACTACCCTATAATGCCAACATTTGTTCTTGTCTTGTCCGCAAGTGCCTGTGCAAGCCTATTTTTCAACATTCCTAATTAAATTTTCATTTTTTAAAAAATGACTTCTTTCTGGTCTCATGCACAAGCCATCATTTTCTATTAAGACATTGGATTTTGCCAGAAGTATACAGTACTCACAAAGCCATCCATTGCCCATTTGTCGTCTTTCAGTTTGTTCACAGAAGTATGGTATGGTGCTTTAATGAGATATATATGGAGCATTAAACGGGCTTCTTGACTTTTATACACCCCTGTAAAACATAAACATAGTTGATCTGAGCCAGTAAAGCCAAACCAAAATCATCCTCTTTAGACCATCTTTGCAAAGGGGAAGCACAAGGGTCAAAGATTTATATCTGACCCATCTTTTTAAGTAACTAAAAAAACCATACCTATTTATTTAATTGCATGTTGTGAAGATGGTCAGTTCCAGAGTCATTTCAGTAAGCATAACATCCACAAGAGCCAACTTAAGATAGTGATTAAGGCATCAGGCAAAACCCAGGAGGCCTAATACCTTGGGCACAAAGCCAGCTTAGTGACCTTGATCCATCACTTTCTCTAGAAAAGGAGGCCTTGGCAAACCACTTCTGAAAAAGATTGCTAAGAAAACAGCAGGGATTTGCCCAAGCAGTCTCTGAGAATTAGACATGATTGAACAGAAATATATATCTATATGCCTGCACACACACACACACACACACACACACACACACAAAACACTGTGCACACCCAACCTAAGTTTGCTACAAATTCAGGTTTACTGAAATCAGTGTCAAAAATCTTTCCAATAATTTTTCTTCTAGCAAGTTGTTGTTATTATTATTATTATTAATTCCATTTATATCCCGCCCTTCTCCTTTCGGACTCAGGGCGGCTTAATTATCTGTAGTTTAGCTTATATTTGATTTTATTCAAGGGAAGGAAGGTAGGTAAAGGGTTTATGGAAACAAAAACAGAGTTTTGTTTGTGTACACTGTAATAATAATGGTGAAAAAAGATTTAAGGTATTATAGTGCTTTCTTAAACCGGGTTTATACTAGAATCTGAAAATCTCAGGTACAGGTTCCCACTTATCACCAGAAGCTTACAACCCAAGTTCATTCATTCATTTTCTCTTTCCCTTTCATTCTCTCTCTCTCTCTCATCTTATAATCCAGGAAAAAAATCCAGGATATAAAGGAAATAATAAAATAAGATAGTAAAATAACAGGTAGTCTTGAGCTAAAGATAGGTATGCATTGGTGTATTCATTTACAAAGAGTAATTTCAACTTGCTTCAGGAATACTGTAAGGGACAAATTGAAACCCAAATGCATATAGAGAAAGAATTTGGAGCCATTAGCAAAAATTCATGGAAAAGCACCCTTGTTCAATGTTCATTGCACCACACTGATCTTCTGCAAAACACTAAGATAGTTTGCTAAATCTACTATAGTAGCTGAAGACCAAACAACATTCTCAGCCTCCATGTTAAGATGTTATTTAGACCACAATTTCTTAGCTTTGCAGAGATGAAACCTTGACTAGTATGCTTCAACATGTCAAACTAGCAATGTCACATGACATTGTGCAACGTATTGTGACAGTTTTGCCATTGCCGGCAATGGGGTGGACGTGGCTTCTGTGTGACGTGTCCGGCCCGTGGGCCGGCAGTTTGACACCCCTGCTCTAAAGGATGGTTACTGTATATTTAGGAGATGGCCATAAATCAGGGACATGCTTTATTTGAAAAAAGGATTAGGTGAATTCCTGATGCTTTCAATTTGGGAAAAAGCCAGGACTATGAAATTTGTGGGTTGATAAGACAGCAAGATGGATGGACTTAATTTCAGTAATAGATGTACCACTAGAAAATCTGAATGACTAAGTTGGGAACAGATGCTCCTAGAGAAAATTTATATATATATATGTTTGCTAAGAATCAACACTAACTTGATGGCACTTAATCAATTAAATTGTTTACATATGATGGTATGTCTAGAGTAAGGTTTATTTAAGAATGTCTTTGAATCATCATAATATTTAATCTTTTTTTATTTTGCTGTTATTTGTGCTAAAATGCATTTTCACAAAGATATGTTGAGAAAAACATAGTACAACTTTCAATAATAATTCACTTAAAATATATGATTTATATTTCAACATGACATCCTAGGAGTGTTTATCAATGTGTTCTTTATAAATGGGTAGGATACTTATTTATCTAGTAAATTTGAGTGGATTCATACCAACAAAACCCCTGTCCTTAGCTATCTTGACAGGATATCTTCAAGTTTAAAGTTTAAGAAATAAATTCTGTATTATTGGGGCAACTATCAGTGGATAGCAGATCAGCCACTTGCTTTGTATTTAGTATCAGACCTTACAGCTACATTGTATTTTGATGTATTTCTCAATATTGTTCACGTCTAAGTTTAAGTGGCCAAAAGGAAGCAGATATTCAGCTACTATCAGATGTCTCCTTTCTTTGCCAATGAATTACTCAATTCAGGAAATGATTAGAAACTGAAGTTAAACTGACAGGTTTTAACAAGATAAATGAATCATTTTCCTTGAAGAATTCTTTGGATTATTCTTTCTGACAAATTATGATTGAGCACTCTTGCAGACACTGTAAGGATCAACAGCAAATGGACTTGCACAAGGAGCCATCCAATGCTGCTCTGAGACATTCTTCTCATTCAGAAATTACATTTCTGGAAAGTTTCCATTTGGAAAGTAGCAGTTTCCAAGAATCCAGATGTCTGTGCGTGGGAATATTCAAATGTTAGCTGTCAAGTATAGCTGTCATAGTTAAAGGATAGCATACAAATTAGCACCCGAAAAAAACAACAAAATAAAACAAAACCCAAACAAAACCAACCAAACATGAAATATATATTAGAGTAGCCCAGTCTTGCTGCTCATCACCTAAGAGTGAGGTGGGCAGCATGTAAATTTACTAAATATATGATTTTTAAAGATTTTTTAAAGAAAAATTGCTGCATATGCCTGATCTGCAATCAGAAACTCCAACTCACATTTGATGGTTTTCTCTAAAACATTCATACGTTTTCCTCCAAAGATATATACCTCTCTTTCTGTAAAATAGATCTCCTGTGATTAATCATCCTTCCTGAAACAGGACTATATTTAACTGTGTGTAACTCTAGGTGTAAGGCATTATTTACTTGTATTTGTGATTTTTCTTAATCAAGATACAGCTGCACTCAAAAAAATCTACTGCACCATGCTTGATTTAAAAAATGCATCTGCAATGCATTACATCAATCTACAGTAGATACATGCTCCGAATGAAAACAATTTGAACATTACAGAAGACTTCTTATTTTAATCAAATCTCAGTTTAATGCCATTGCATGGTTTTACAATGTAAAAGATGAGATCAAGATTTTTTTTTGGAGTTTCTGTTGCTATCCAGAAGCAAAAAGTAGGATTGTATTCTTCTTTTTCTTTGCCAAAGTATTATTTCAGATATATCCTTTATATCCATTGTCTTGAACATGGTCAACTTATATGTGCAAAATTGTAAGAAACATTTTCTTCAGTAGTTCCCAACTTTGGGTAAATTATCCAGAATTGGGTAAAAGTGATTTTTACCCAGCAAAACAGGGACATTTAAGGTGACTTAAGGATTGCCACATGTACTAAAATATATTTGAAACTCTTCCAAAGTATTCCAGTTAAGACCAAAATTTATTGAAATGATAGAACTATCATTCAATGATGTTGTTTTTCTAATATAGGTGGTCTCTGAGTATGATCATTCATTTAGTGACAATTCAAAGTTACAACCGTGCTTAAGGAAAAAAAAACTCACGCCCAGTCCTTGAAGTTTAATAAGACTTTCTATTAAACACTTTGGGGTAATGAAGAAAAAAGTTTGAGAACTATACAAGATCAAACACGGGGACTTAGTTTCCAGTACTCGTTCTAAGATATTCCAGGACAATTTTTCTGCTGAGGTGATACCTATGTAGTAATCAGAGACATTATCTTCTAGTCCAATCCCCTGCTTAGGCAGGAAATGACAAAGAGCTTGGTCTTCATTTAATAGGCCTGTGAAATTATATGATGATACAAACTGGATCTATACTCTGAGGTCACAAAAGCTTATCAAAGGGCCGAGATTCTATATTGAAATCCCTAGAATTTACTTATATACTTGTTTGTCCAGCTGTTATGGTGGATGGATGGTCCATGCATACATGCAAATATCCATTCACAAAGACAACCATGACAAGTCTTTGAGAAACCCTTTGGCTTTACTTTGTTTAATGCTTTCCACAGAGTCATTATCTACTGTCCTCTACAATGCAGGGAATTACAGACAATTAAATACTCAAAAATACCAAACTGTGCTTTCCATTTTTATATAAGAACCAAATATCTGACATAATTGTTCAAATCGATCTTCTTCAAGTAGTCAAGTGTGGGTTCATATGTCTGTTTTCTCAATAGCCATTAAATGGTACCACTGTTTTGAATAGAAGATATAATCCTGTGATTAGCATATTTCACAATGCAATTCTAAACATGTCAATTCAGAAATAACCACCCTTCAGTAAAACATTTCAACATAAGAATTTCCGCAAAACTCAAACCTAAACTTCATAAATAATAATAGCTCCAATGAAGCAGGAAATGTCAGTGTGGTTGACATTGATTGGATGTTGTGTTTACTATTATCCTGAATCAATTCACTGATCATAAAAGGCTTCTTTCTTGAAGGTTAAGGGCCATAATCTATCATGAGGACCTAATGCAGATCTAAATAGATATTTTATTGAGTTCCCAGTTTAGGGTTAAAAGAAAATTGCAGGTCTAATGCCATGCAGCCAGCTTCTATGCATAAGAGAGAACAAGAAATAAAATGATTAAGCCATGCTGCATTCTTAAATGTATGTGTGTGCCACTTCACAATTCTTGTTTAGAATAATTCAACGGAACAACTGCAAAATATTTGTAGGACCAATATCAACAAATCCCCTTAATTAAACTATAATTAAAACTGCTACTACCATCAGACAGATCAAAGCACTTTCCTGAAGAGGCCTGTATTTACCATTTTATGAAACCCTTTTAGGAGAGACATTTGAGTGTGTTGAGTGTTTAGGGTGCTGATCACTTTCAGTGTGGATGTCAAGCACAATTATTCCATACGAAATCACATGGAGCAGTGAGATTCTTCCTGAATAAGACTGTCTTGAAAATATCCAACACCAAATATCCACACCTGTGAAGGGCTTTACAATGATCATCACTTCCATGAAATGGGTATCAGACTTTTGGTAGACGTGTTAAGAGAATTAAATAGAGACATTTATAATTGTTGTTCCTACCTGAAAGCAACAACTCCATGTTGCTATTAGTAAGGGTCGCATTCACTCTTCCAGATGATGCATTGAAATGAGTAATGGTCAAGGTCATTGGCTGCTTTTTGCCTTTATAATTGTAGGATCCTTTCCATATGTAATTCTGAGCAAACACGTCATCAGGAACTGCAAAATAAAAATAAAGTCCAAACATTAAAGATCATTAAACAATAAGAACATTAGAGCTACAATAATGCTACTTAAAATGAGATTAGAACATTAAAAAAATACTTGAGAAATGTTGAGCAACAGAATTCTATCCTGGAAATCCCTTTTTCTTTATTCTTAGTTTTCTGAAATTTTACATATAAGTGATATGCAGCTATATGTTACAGCTTAGTATCTTCAAGAATTTTAACATCTCCGTACCAACTATTTCTCCAACTTTTTCAGTTATCAAAGTGAAAGTAAGATAATTTTACTATAAAAAGAATTAAGAATAATATTACACACTTAATTGATAGCTGCATGGTGCAGACATTATGTCTAGTGGCTGTATGTTAAGTGGATCTACTTGGTATATATATTAGATGGGTTCATCAAAAATGGCTCAAATACCAATTACAGGGGGGGAAAACATGCTTTCTTTTCAGAAGTTCATACAAAATTATAATTTCAGAAGAAACAGAATATACATAAGAAGATTTCATACCAAAAATAGAACTTACAATAATGTGTAGCAAAAGAGCTTGTATATTACAGGGATAAGAATGTGTTTTAAAACTTATAAAAAGTTCTGTAGGGGTGGGAGGGTGGGAGGGAGCTCATGTTTTTTCTCTGCATCTTTGTCAGAAAACTAACATAAATGCAGATATTTCCTTGATTTAATTTTCTTTTTGACATGTTTAAAGTAACACCTCCCTCAGCTATGGCTTGTCCTGAAATTTTCATTTCCAAATAGGATCTCCCAGGTGGTTCGATTCCCGCTCCAGTTGGGAGAAAAAAAAATGGTTCTTGGAGGTTAAGTTAATCAAAAGATTATCATGGAATCAAAAACTGTGATTAAGGAATGATGAAATAATGTTTAAATTAATTCATAATTCAATATGTAATTCTGTAAGAAAAAAATAAGGGGTAAGTGACTAGTTCCTTTAAAAAATATAGCAATGTTGGTAGATATCCTGAAAGTCCTGCTATTAAACACTGGGAAACACAGAAGAAAAAGGAAAAAAGGAAGATATTCTCTCTAATGCACATTATTTTTTAATATTTTTTTTATTGAAGCTTCCAAATACAAAGATAAAAAATAAGAAAATATAAAAAAGAAAACCAAAAGTGCAGAGAAAAAGAGATAAATGCTTCCCCCTTCAAGACAGTACAATTTCAGTAATTTATCACCTTCTCTGATATTTCAACAAAAGAGCTTCCTATATCTCATCTATCTCTAAATTATAAAGCCTTGTCATTCAGTCCTAATCTGTAATCGATCATTAAGTGTTACCAGAAATAGCACACATAGTATAACCTTAATCAAATAAAACAGTTTTATATTCTTTATTTTCAACACAATAACTTATTAATTTTAAAATATAGCAAAAATCCTCTTTTCATTCCATATCTTATATGTTTGTTGTTGTTAGTTGCGAAGTCGTGTCCGACCCATGTTACCTATAAACAAATCTTTAAAGCCTGATCATTCCATCCTAATAAAAAAAAAATCCATTAAGAGCTAATAGCAATACAACATATATATTTTAACTTTGATCAAATAAATCAATTTTGCCTCCCTTCCCCTTTACTTTTAAGACTATCAATCTTCAGTTCTTTTAAATAGTGTCAAAAATTGATTTATTTCTTTGCAGAAATTCCTTCACAACTTTAATATATCTCCTGTAAATCCAAGATTAGAAAGTTATCCAAGTCAATCTTCAATTTATTACTTGATGTCCCTTTTACTTATTAAGACATCAGAAAATTTGCATTTGTAGATCAGTGTAAGATTGTTTTTATATCATTCGCTATTAGATCCACATTACAATGATTCTTACTCTATTTTGTCCAGTAAGATCTGTTCTTTTCTATCTCTTTTAAATCCATATTTATAATAGCAAACCATATGAAGAATTATTTGAGTATATTGTACCCAAATATCCTTAAATTCTTACAAAATCAGGTATTTTTGTCCATTCTGGGACAAATGGGTCTCTCCTCCTTATAAACTTTAGTTCTTTCTGTTTCTTTTACTTTTCTTTTACTTCAATGTCCCCTCTTAACATATTTTCTTTCTAATCAACAACAGTTTGTCATCAGAAAGCTTATTACAATCCTTCTGGCCGCTTAATCTGTTTATAACTTTCCAAAATCAATGTTCTAAATATCATCTTGCTTTTTTCAAATAAAAAAATGTTTTAAACATCTTTAGATTAACATGAAACTTTTGTCAAGAATAGAAAGAAATTCATCAAGTGTAATGAAACATTCCTTTCCAAAATTTCTCAATATCCAAAGAAGCCATTAACAAACCATTTCCAAAAATGATTAAGAAAGGAAGTATTAAAACCCATTATCTCTTTGAAACTTTGAATTGCAGTTTGGGCAAAACTGATTATCCCTTGGCTCCCAGGACTCTAGTGTCTTATTGTGTTCTTGTGGGAAACCACTGTAGGAAGTGTTTGTGACCAATTCTGGACCTCTCCTTGCTCCAGAGATTACAATCTGTTTACCAGCTCCTTGTTCTGCCATGGTTGTCTCCATTCTCTCTTTGGAAATAGATTATTACACTCTGTTTTTCCACAAACATTCTTGAGTTTATAAACAGAGTTAATATGCAATAGCACTTAGATTTATATACACTGCTTCACAGTGCTTTACAGCCCTCCTTAAGCAGTTTACAGGATCTGCATATTGCCCCCAACAATCTGGGTCCTCATTTTACTGACCTCGGAAGGATGGAAGGCTGAGTCAACCATGAGCCAATGAGAATCAAACTGTGGGCACTCAGTAGAATTAGCCTGCAATACTGTATTCTAACCACTGTGCCACTACGTAATAATCTATTCTATAAACAGAAAACATCCTATATATAGCATATCACAGAAGCCATGAAAAAACGAAGTATTTCTAAATGTGGTAAGGGTTCGGGCCCATTCCATTTTGTAAGAATTATTATAAGTTTAGCGTTTCCTCCTCAGAGGTCCTCCCAGCCCCAGCCCCCTTTGTCAAGTCCTGCCATAATGTTCTCTAGGGATTGGTAAGATGTCTCTTCCAGCCGGAGCTCATGCAGGGTTAGGAGGTAGCAGGCTCTTGTCGTCAAGGAGGGGCTTCCAGGAATGAAAATAACCAGCCCCGATAGTCAATGCTATGATAGTATCCAACAGCCCAAGGCCGTTATAGCAGCGATGATTAAGGATTCCTCAGCGATTGTTCAGAGTCAAGTGGGATGGAGGAAAACCCCCGGCTCCAGACGGTAGTAGAAACAACAACAGTCAGTGTGCTATAGCAATAGCTCGCCCCCCAGGGCAACTCCCCTACAAAGTCTAAAACTTGAACCAGCAACAATAGTCACAGTCCAAATAGCCTCCAGGCTTCGTCCCCCTTGCCTCCGTTTGAGATATCCTCCTTACGAAGGAAAGCAATAAAAATTCCACTCTCTCTCTCTCTCTCTCCTTCGTTTGAGATACCCGCCTTACGAAGGAAAGCAATAAAATTTCACTCCCCCTCTCCTTACGAAGAAAAGCAAATAAAACTTCCACCCCCTTTACCTTCACCTGACGAACTGCAACAGCCACACCGTCCCTTTCCTTTCCTTCCCTTTTCTATCTTTTTCCTCCGCCCACGCTGGCCACACCCAAGGCCAGCAGCAGCTGTCCCAATCTCTCCCTTCCCAACCGAGCTCCTGCAAACACTCTCAGACAGCCCCGCTACATAAGCATGAACCTGGGCAGTTTGATACAATACCTGTCTAATCAATGAGTTCAGTGAGACCTATCTACAGGTGATTCAGCTAAGACTGCATTGGATTGAATCTTCTACAAAAAGTTTGCCAACATATTCAAATCAAATGTTTGTTCTGATTAGAAGGCTTCCAACCCAATGATTCTATGACTCAAATTAGAAAAAATCTTCCCATGATTATAGACAGCATGTAGTCCTTCTATAAATTCTTATCTATGAAAGAAGGGCCTTTCTAGGGTCCATCCTGTGGAGAAGGCATAAAGCTTTCCCATTTTATATTTCCAATTGTAGGAAAGGGAAAACTTCAAAGGAAAAAAAACAAACGCCACAAAATGATTTAAGATAAATGACACCAGATTGACTCCTTAATTATGTTATAATCATCTTTCTTATCCTCCTTTTCTTACACTGATCTCATATGAGAGCCCTGGTGGTGCAGTGGTTAGAATGCAGTACTGCAGGCTACTTCTGCTGACTGCAGTTCGAGTCTCACTGGCTCATGGTTGACTCAGCCTTCCATCCTTCCAAGGTCGGTAAACTGAAGACCCAGATTGTTGGGGGGAATGTTCTGACTCTATAAACCTGTTAGAGAGGGCTGTAAAGCCCTGTGAAGCAGTATATATGTCTACGTGTTATTGCTATATGGTAGAGTTAAAAGATGTCCATGTGGAGCATTAATATTTCTAAGGGCATGTACAGTATTCTGCCTGAAGTTCCATCTACCAGTTCTACACCCCATTTGGATGTTCTTGTTTGCTCTAACACACCTGGTTATTTATGAGTCTATATTTTGAAATTTCAGGCAATGTTAAAATCAGTTTGCAACCTTATATTCGGATGATGGTGGAAATTGTTCATGAAATTTATGTAGCTACTTAACTTGAGATTTAGTTTTAGTAAGCTCAGGCTATTTTCCAAGGTGACTCAAGTAGGATTGAATTATTAGTGCTCATGAAGTTGCAACCTTGGAGTACGTAAACTGTGAAATCTTCAAGGTAGTTTTAAGGTATGAGTTTATTTTTGTCAAATACAAATATTCATAACTGAAGAAAATTATTCTTGGCTTCTTTTAATCTCTTATAGGCATTTCTCACATTTTAATGCTAAATCAAAGTATCCCTTTGGAATAAATGAATGTTAATCATCATAAACAGAAGTGCAGAATGATGAGCTAAGCTCTATCTAATGCCAAGCATAAATCAATGGCAAAGGTTTCATTCACTTCAATAAAC